AGCATTGGTCAGCTGGATGAACGCGGTAGCGAGGTACTGATCAAGGACAGAGTCCTTAGGATCAGGGACTGGGAGCAACGACTTTTTGCCAAGGTGAAGAGGTCCCTGAACCGGTTGTACCTGCTCGACCTAAAGGTAGAGCAGCCGGTGTGTCTGGCGGCAAGGCACACCGAGGAACCGTGGATGTGGCATGCCCGGTTTGGACATCTCAGCTTCGACGCGCTTGGTCAGCTGGAGAAGATGGTCCGAGGGCTACCCCACATCAAGCACGGAGGCGAGCTGTGTGGCAGCTGCCTAGCCGGGAAGCAGAGGAGGCTACCATTCCCAAAGGCGGCTAAGTATCGCGCGAAGGACGCTCTCGAGCTCGTCCACGGCGACCTCTGTGGGCCGATCACGCCAGCTACAAACGGTGGTCGGCGGTACTTTCTCCTGCTCGTGGATGATTACAGTCGCTACATGTGGCTGCAACTCCTGACGAGCAAGGACGAAGCGGTGGCGGTGATCAAGAAGTTCAAGATGCGCGCGGAGGCCGAGAGCGGCAAGAAGCTTCGCGTGCTGAGGATTGATCGCGGCAGCAAATTCACTTCGGTAGAGTTCGCTGCATACTGCGTGGATCAGGGTGTGGTGTGACACCACACCGCACCGTACTCGCCACAACAGAAATGGCGTGGTGGAGAGGCGGAACTAGACGGTGGTCGACATGGCTCGATCCATGATGAAGGCCAAAGGCATGCCGGCAAGATTCTGGGGTGAGACGGTGACCACGGCGGTGTTCATCCTCAACCGCGCAACGACCAAGGCCCTGATGGGCAAGACGCCGTTCGAAGCTTGGTATGGGCGCAAGCCAAGCGTTTCCTTCCTCCGGACATTCGGCTGCATCGGTCACGTCAGGAAGACAAAGCCGATCCTTACCAAGCTGGAGGACAGGAGCACACCGATGGTGTTCCTGGGCTATGCGGAGGGTACCAAGGCATACTGGCTCTACGACCCACGCGGAGACAAGGTGCTTGTCTCGCGCGATGTCGTGTTCAACGAGAAGGCGGCTTGGGACAGGAATAGTCCGAGCATGGGGGAAGCTGGCGGCTTCACCAGAAACCTTCGTCGTCGAGCACCTGGTCATCCACGGTGGTGGAGACACTGGAGAAGAGGTGTCGAGCACTCCGGGAGGGGTGCCGAGCACTCCAGCAACAGAGCCGAGGACTTCTGGGGCAGTGCCGAGCACTTCGAGAGGGATGCCAAGCACTCCTAGAGGGATGCCGAGCACGCCAGGAGTGGTGCCGGGAGGTTCTGCAGTGGTGGCAACCACTCCAGGACGAGTGCCGAGCACTCCCATGGCGGAGCCAAGAGGTCTTGCAGTGGTGCCGACCACTCCTAGAATGAGGCTGAGCACTCCTACAGTGTGCCGAGCACTGCAGGAGTAGTGGCGAGCTGTCCAGAAGTAGTGTCGAGCCCTGCAACCAGGGTGCCGAGCACTCCAGGTGCTGTGCCGAGCACTCAGGCGGAACAGGGAACTCCATCAACACTGATTGAGTTCGCCTCACCTCCAAGTGACATCACTAAGTTCGTGGATGCCTTCCACGAAGGTGAGGAGGTGCGGTTCCGTAGGCTGGACAACATCGTCGGCGACACAGGGCCCTTAGGCCTAGCTGGTCGGCTGCTCAATGATCAAGAGCTGTTGCTCGTCAGCGCAGAGGAACCACCCACGTTCGCGCTGGCCGAGCGTGACGAAAACTAGCGATGGGCGATGCTGGAGGAGATGAAGGCGATCGAGGAAAACAAGACATGGCAGCTTATCAATCCGCCTCTAGGATGCCATCCGATCAGCCTGAAGTGGGTGTACAAGGTCAAGCGGGATGAGCTCGGCGCGTTGTCAAGCACAAGGCATGCCTCGTCGCCCGAGGCTTTGTTCAGCGATGAGGGCATAGACTACGAGGAGGTCTTTGCGCCAGTAGCGCGCATAGAGTCTGTTCATTTGCTACTAGCCTTAGCAGCAGTAATGAACTAGCGCGTCCATCACTTGGACGTTAAATTGGCCTTCCTCAACGGCGAGCTGGCGGAGACGGTCTTCGTCAAGCAACCTTTAGGTTTCGCCGTCAAGGGAGAGGAGCACAGGGTGCTCCGACTACGCAAGGCGCTCTACGGGCTGCGGCAGGCCCCACGAGCATGGAACGTCAAGCTTGACGCCACGCTGGGCGAGCTTGGGTTCCAGCGGTGCGCAACCGAGCACGCGCTCTACACGCGATGACGGTGGGAGGAGGAGCTCGTCGTCGGCGACGTGTATGTGGACGACTTGATCGTCACTGGCGCGCGCACGGAGGACATCAACAGCTTCAAGCGTGAGATGGCGGCTCGTTTTTGAATGAGAGATCTCGGCGCACTCTCCTACTACCTCGGCATTGAGGTAAGACAAGGGAAGGAGGAACTCACGCTCGGTCAGAGCGCGTATGCCTCGAAGTTGTTGGAGCGGAGCGGCATGGCTGAGTGCAAGCCATGCGTGACTCCGATGGAGGAGCGGCTGAAACTGACGAAGGCCAGCACCGCGGTGAAAGTGGATGCAACACTCTATCGGAGCATCGTCGGCGGTCTGCGCTACCTAGTCCACACGATGCCGGACATTGCGTTCGCCGTGGATTATGTCAGTCTGCTTCATGGAGGATCCCAGAGAGGATCACTGGGCTGCGGGGAAGTGGCTACTGCGCTACGTCAAAGGGACGGTAGATCAGGGGATCATCTTCCCAAAGACAGGCGGGAGTAGGCTGCAGCTCACTGTGTTCAGCGATACAGACATGGCGAGGGACATCGACGGACGACGGAACACCTCTAGCGTGCTCGTCTTCCTCGGGTCGGCTCCAATTTCATGGTTATCGCTGAAACAGAAGGTGGTGACGCTATTTACGTGCGAGGCAGAGTACGTAGCGGCGGCCACAATGGCGTGCCAAGTTGTGTGGCTACACCGGTTGCTGGGCGAGCTGACCGACGGCGTGGAAGCTCACCCACCAGCACTGATGGTGGACAACCAACCCGACCTCAACCTCGCGAAGAATCCGGTTCTGCACGACCGGAGCAAACACATCGACGTGAAGTTCTACTTCCTCAGGGACTATGTCGATGGAGGGCAGATCGTCATCGAGTTCGTCGAAACTGGTCGGCAACTCGCGGACGTCCTCACCAAGCCGCTCGGACGCCTTCGACCCACGGAGCTGAAGGAGATGATCGGCATGGAGGGGGTACAAGGGATAGCAGTAGGATTAGGGGAAGAATTGTTAGATAATCTACTGCTTTCTTGTGTGAACACACAGCAAGGGAAGGCAGCGCCGAAAAGGCTCCCTATTTGGTATCAGAGTCAGAGAGAGAGTAGGCGCCGAATGGCTCACCCGCCGCATCAGAGCCATATATGAGGATAGGCGTGAAAGTCGATCCTCATTGTGTTATCTAGTCACCAATTGCAAAGGGTAGTTGTACTATGACTAGATGGATAGAGTTGTATATATAGTTTGTCACTGTAACTCAACAAAGAGAGTTCAGATTTGCCATCTCCTATACAGGGCTCCGGCCAACGCTGATACTTGTACTGTGTGTGTATGCTTTGTTCTCTCTCTTCTTCAACCTCTAGCCATAGTGTGTAGTCGAACAACGCTTGTTCGTGGTTGGCATAGCTAGCGGGTGCTCGGCAAGACTGGTGAGTAGTCAACTCACCTGAGCCGTGATCCTGTGGGCTAACAGGAAGGTGGGGAAGTGCATCTGTGGTTAGAGAAGACATGGAACGGCTAGGGATTCACAAGCATCCAGGGTACAGCTGGATTGATCTGCACGACATGGTGCATGTCTTCATCTCAGGGGATACCTCGCATCCCCTTACCCAGGAGATTTTTTCAGTGCTAGAATGTTTTTATAGGTCATGTAGAGATTGGAGCTAGACGGCTATGTGAAATTGTTGTATTTGGAGGAGATAAGCAGCATGTTCTCTTGCTCGTATACGATCGTGGATTATAAGCTGGAACAATATTTTTCTCTCACACCAAATCAGCCAACAATAAATAATCCACGATCGTTTACGACGAAACAAACAGGCTAAAGAGGTTTTGCGGTGTAGAAACAAGCTCTTTCTTCCGTTCTTCTTGGCCTGTACATGTCTCTCTTGTAGTGTTTGCACCTTTCTTTGGTAATGAAAACACAAATGTTTTATTATTATATTTGATAAAATTGAAGATCTATGAGGGCACTGCTGATTGTGTGAAAAACTAAACTCATACAGATTTCCATAACAGTGAAGAATCTAAAATCCAACGGTTGAAATTACATGGAGATGAGCCAACACAACTGCTCAAGTAATCTCTCACCCCTTTACATGGAGATGAGCCAACTCAACTGCTCTAGTAATCTCTCAACCCCCCCTCTTGAATGGATACATAATTGCCTATGCATGATAATTATTGCTGTAATGATCAGTTCATAAATTTATGACTAAAGTAAAAACCTTAGCCTTAACCCAAATATATGCCATCGTCCCATCGACGTCCAAGAAAGTTGCATTTTGATTGAATAGAAGTAATCCATTCAAAGGTGTAAAAGAAAAGTTCTATAGGCAAAGAGAAACTATAGAATAAAATTTTCTTCAAAAGTGTGCTAGAAATTTCCCATTGAGTCATATACTCCGTGCTACTAATTTCCCAATGGAAAAAAAATGCCATGGATAGACGGCGAAGATTAGTAGGTAGTACTCCTGCATTCCTTGGTGCAAGTAGAAACAAATCTTGAACTGAATATAGCCAAAAGGCTTTGATTGACCACTATGCATGCTCTCTAATGCACGAACCCCTATGGCATGCTCGGCAATTACCAATCCATTAGCCACCCTTTGCATTAATTCCTCGCATGGTTTTTAATGGACGTTTCCATTAACCCAATGATCCCAGGGTTTAAAAGAGCCGCATTTGCCTTCCATCTTCTCCACTCCCTATATTGCTGGCCTCAACTCCGTTCCAGCATCTCCCGGAACCATGGAGGCCAAGATTGAAGAGAGGTAAACCGTAAACTCGTTGCTTCTTCTTCGTACTCCTCGGTTTTTAGCCATGTTCTTGGTACAGAATGTCAGTGTGCTAATATCAAAAAAAAAATTCTTGTTTGCATTGGCAGCAGCTTGTGGCCTTACTGGACAGGTGCTTGGCCTGATAGCCACCTGCTTGAAGAGGAAGCGCTCCTCTCCGGCCTCTCCTTACCAAGCTTGCACTTCCACCCATTGTGCTCGACCATTACATCCAGCAACATTCTGCAGGTATGCTTCTTTTTTCCTGTATGGAGTTGTGGATTCAGGATTTCAGGTGCAAGATCGATGTCTTGTTCTTTGAGACGCATGCAGGTGAGCTCGACGCCATCTTTGAGGATGATGTGCTGAGGCATTGGGATGACATGGAGCAGTCTGGCAACAAGGTAGAGGAGGAAGGCAACGAGAGGCTGCCGCTGCTTTGCTACACCGAGGAGGAGAAGGAAGTGTCCTCGAACACCAAGGTCGTCGTCAGAGCAGCAGGCCAGCAAGTGAGATCGTCAGAGGAGCCGGTCCTCACGTTCGAGCTCGTGTCGCAGTACTTCTACATGCCGATCATGCAGGCGGCGCGGGAGCTCAACGTCGGCCTCACCCTCCTCAAGAAGAGGTGCAGGGAACTGGGCATCCCTAGGTGGCCACATCGCAAGATGAAGAGCTTGCAGTCCTTCGTCAAGAATGTCCAGGTTTCCCTTCCATATGTCTCTCCTCCTGTCCTCCATCCCCCCAGTTTCACATTCACAATGCTCTGCGTCAGATCAGATAGAATAGAAGTTTGCATAATTCAATCAATCCGTGATGGGAATTTGTGAGACTGGTGGGTTGCGGTGCAGGTCCTGCAGGAGGCGGGCAAGGCGGTCGATGAGGAGCAGCTGAGGGCGGTGGTGGAGATGCTGCAGCAGGAGAAGCAGCTCCTGGAGCAGAGGCCGTATGTGCAGCTGGATGAGAAGACCAAGAGGCTCAGGCAGGCCTGCTTCAAGGCCAACTACAAGAAGAGACGGCTCTTGGCTCTCAAAGGAGGGGAGGCACCAAGAATCCACAAGTACTGATCCAAATCAAGTTATATGTTGGGGTCCTTTTGCAAGCCTCATGACGGGATTTCAGCTTATCCTATATACATTATCTCCTGTTATGCTCGATCGATCAATGTAATCCCCGAATCATGCGGAAATTCATGTGTTTCGTTCTTGTTGCGTGAAAAGTGTTTATACTATGTGCAGTACTGATACTATCAAGTGTCTAAGTACAACATTACTATTGCATATTTGCACTACGCTCTGCTGCACCTCAGTGTACGTACTAGTCTTCTCAAGGTTCAAGCGGTGACCAGCTCTGTCCGGGCCGCTGTTTCCCTCTGCTCCTTGCCAATGTCGACGTGCTCCGACAAGATCGCCCTGAACTCGTCGCCGGTGAGCGTCTCCTTCTCCATGAGCACGTCCACCAGCTGGTCGATGGCCGCGCGGTTCCTCCTGACATGCTCCTTGGCGACCTCGTACGCCTGGTCGACGATGTGCTTCACGGAGCTGTCGATGTCCGCGGCGAGCTTCTCGGACATGGAGTTCCGGGCCAGCATCCGCAGCACGACGTCGCCGCTCTGCGCGGCCGGCTCCATGAGCGCCCACGGCCCGATCTCCGACATCCCGAACGTGGTCACCATCTGCCGCGCCACCTGCGTCACCTGCTGCAGGTCGCCCGCCGCTCCCGTCGTCACCTCGCGCTCCCCGAAGATCACCTCCTCGGCGGCGCGCCCGCCGAGCCCGCCCACGATGCGCGCGAAGATCTGCTGCTTGGACACCAGAGTCGGGTCCTCGCCCGGCAGGAACCACGTCAGCCCGCGCGCCTGCCCCCGTGGGATCAGCGTCACCTTCTGCACCGCGTCGTGCCCCGGCGTCAGCGTCCTGCATCAATCAGTCGCGCAGTCAGTGTACTTGGCTTGATCATGGTCAGGGCAAAGGAACATTAGCTTGGAACAAATTAAAGAGGAAGGAAGGTCGATTAGTAATAATACTTACGCGCAGACGGCGTGGCCGATCTCGTGGTAGGCGACAAGCAGCTTGCTCTTGCCGTCGGTCATGGTGGTGCCCTCGAGGCCGGCGACGATGCGGTCGATGGAGTCATCGATCTCCTTGACACTGATGCGGTCCTTGCCGCGGCGGCCGGCAAGGATGGCAGCCTCATTCATAAGGTTGGCAAGGTCGGCGCCGCTGAACCCGGGCGTGCGCATGGCCACGACGCCGAGCGACACGTCGGGGTCCAGCTTCTTGTTGGAGCTGTGCACCCTGAGGATCTCCTCCCGCCCGCGGACGTCGGGGAGCCCGACGCTGACCTGCCGGTCGAAGCGGCCCGGGCGGAGCAGCGCGGCGTCGAGGATCTCCGGCCGGTTCGTGGCCGCGATGACGATGACGCCGCTGTCTCCGCTGAAGCCGTCCATCTCCGTCAGCAGCTGGTTCAGCGTCTGCTCCCGCTCGTCGTTGCCCCCGCCGATGCCCGTGCCGCGCTGGCGGCCCACGGCGTCGATCTCGTCGATGAAGACGAGGCACGGCGCGTTGGCCTTGGCCTTGTTGAAGAGGTCCCGCACCCGCGACGCGCCCACGCCGACGAACATCTCGATGAACTCGGAGCCGGACAGCGAGAAGAAAGGCACCCCGGCCTCCCCCGCGATGGCCTTGGCCAGCAGCGTCTTCCCCGTGCCCGGCGGGCCCACCAGCAGCACGCCCTTGGGGATCCTGGCCCCCACCGCCGTGAACTTCTCCGGCGACCTGAGGAACTGCACGATCTCCTGGAAGTCCTGTTTGGCCTCGTCCACGCCGGCGACGTCGTCGAACGTGATCCCGGTGTTGGGCTCCATCTGGAACTTGGCCTTGGACTTGCCGAGCCCGAACGGGAGGCTGGGCCCCCCGCCGCCGGCGCCGGGGTTGTTCATGGTGACCGACCTCCAGATCAGCGAGGCGATGAAGAGGAGCGGGAAGCTGAAATTGAGGAGGAGGTCGAGGAACATGAGCCCGAGGTTGGGCTCCACGGGGTGCGCCGCGAAGTCGACGCCCCTGTCCCGCAGCTTGCGCACCAGCTCGGCGGGGAGGCCCGGGAGCTGCACCCGCACCCGGTGCACCCTCGACGCGGCCAGCGCCGGGTCGTCCAGCTCGACGACGGCCACCGTGCCGTTCTCGAAGAAGTCCACCTTCCGCACCGCGCCGGCGTTGAGGTAATCCAGGAACCGCGAGTAGGACATCCGGTTCGACGTCACCTCCTCCGGCGCCAGCGCCGGCTCGGCACGCGCCGCGCTGGGTCTCTCACGGCGAGACCGAGCCCGAAACCCAGCCCCGCGGACTGCAGCAGCCTCCTCCTGCTGAAACCGGCGGTGTCTGATGACGACGACGAAGGAGGCGCGACCTTGGCAGCTGGAGGCGCACGCTTCTGTGGAGGCGCCTGCTTGGACTTGGACACGTCCTGCGCCCGGCAGATGGGCAGGCGGCTCGTCGTGGTCAGGGACATGGTCGTCGGCGACATCGGCAACTAATCGGACTAGATCGACTACCTCCTGCTTGCGTGACGCAAAATTGCAATGCAGCGTCGTACGCGCGTGCCGTGTCAGGTTTCAATCGTCCTTTGCGGTTTTGGAGGGAACGGGGGCAGCGATCCCTGGTTTAAATAGCTTCATCCATGTCACGGCGATGTTCAAGCGGACGTTGAGTTTGCCCGTGTCTGATTGGCAGCGATTTGAGTTGGTTTTCTCCCGTAGTTTCGTGAGTTGGTGGATAGGCATGTCCGGTTGCGCTTCGCGTAACGTCTAGAACCCGTCGGCGGATAATCCCTGTCGTCCCGGGCCGAAATCCAGGCAGCCAATTATTTTGTGTGGATCGCGTCCGCCGGCTCCACCGAACAGTAGAGTAAGCTCTAGCGGCGTCCGGTGTTTTTCTTGTCGCCCCGCGCAGCGCACGGCCGCACACCTGGGTTCGCCGCGCCCGCACCGCCGCACGCGTGGCTTTATCCTGGTGTCGGCGTGTCGCTACCGTCTACCGGCTAGTACGTACCTCACGTGCAGAAGAGTAAGGCCGTCGCGCCTGTTTTTCTATATTTTGGGTTTTTTTTTCATATTTCTCGAAAATATTGGAAACATGACAAGTCGACAAGAGACAAAACAGGACGAGAATTCACAGGAACCAAATGAAAAACAGGAGATGCTTTTTTCCCCGTCAGTATCTGCAAAAATCTCATTTTTCATATTTATGTATTCTTTCTTTCTTAACGAAAAAGTCTACAATAACAGTCCAATATGCAAGAGGCCGACCGTCTCAAATGACCTATAGCTTAATAATCTGTAACAGTGTAACCCTCACATACACCACAGAGGCACCTAGGCACAGGAATAGCCGCACGCCCGCACAAAACTGCAGGGCGCACGACACTATCAGCCTACGTGCATCTTCCCCTGTCGCCTATAGTGCCGTCAAGGGGGGATGCAGCATGATGGTATTTGATTAGTTTATAGATTAATACTCAAGTTAACCCATGCAAGATATGAGTGAGATCCTTGCAGGAACTAGCTTGCAGTGCTCTATGTTAGGTCGTACCGGATGTATACGGGACTAGTTCGATATGAGCCGAGGTTTAAGATCAGTATTCAGTCACGTCTGATCGTCCCATGGGTGTTTTAGCTGAGCCTGTCAGGTCCGGTATGTGTTGACACAACACAAGTGCTAGTTTTTTTTTCTTCCAATGGCTAGTTCTTTGGAATTTCGAAGATTTCTTCGGGAGCTCTAAACCTAGACTGTTCTAATAGCTATAGTTAACAGCTAGTTTTTGTGTTGGGGTATTTAATGATGTTGCTGGGGAATAAATGGATTACCCATTATCCATATCCAAAAATGATCCACCCAATTCATTCATCCCCAAAACTAGAGAAAATATCTAACAGACATGGACTATGCAATAGGTAGGTCTGGCGGTTGTTGCCATCCCACACTGACAAGGAAGGAGGTGGCTTGGAAAAACCCACCGGCGGACTACATCATCTACGGTTAGTGGGTTAACGGACGACGTAGCGTTATTGAGTGCTCTTGCTTAGATTCTGAATTCAAAAGGAAGAGATTAACAAGTATATTGACAAAAAATTTATTATATTCGCTCTTAATATAAATAAAAATTAGAAATTTATACTAGTAAAAAAATTTGTGATATGTTAGGGGGGAGGGCGCACTACGTGGCGGGAAGGTTGTCAAAGAAATTCAAGATCTTACCTGTCTAAACTTCGCTTCATTTCAAATTATCGATGTCTGTAGATCGTGTAATAGGACTGCCCATGCACTAACAGCACTGGGATGTGATTGTGGCTATTGATAGTGCGGTAGTAATGGAATCCATTTCTATTTTTTTTTAAAAGAACCCGATGAAACTGTTGGCCTTTTTATTTTGGTGTTTTAGATTACACATACAAGAAAGCAATTCTATTTATTCTCACAATGGCAACCTATAGCAGTTTTTTTGTTTTTTTGAGGAAACAACCTATAGCAGCTGCTATCATTTTCTTTAAAAAAACAGCGGGCCAGATCGTTGCTGTGCTCCAGGCCTGCATCAGCCATCAAACGTAGCTGCGGCCCAAGCCCAGCCGCGCCCACGCCAAGGTCGCACACGCGTGCGTCCTCAACGTTGACACCTTCGACTTCAACCGCCCCCCGTGCTCGATGACGAGAGGCGCTGCCATGGGCTTGCCGTCAAGGGCGGACTTGGTGGGAATCGATTTATCGAGAACGCGCTGCCATGGAAATCGCTGTCAATATTAGAATTTAGGAGTTTAGGTTGTTTTGAAAAAACATCTGACATATTTTCATATTTTAAATATCCAAAATGAAAAATCCTGATCCTGCCACTGCGCCTACACAAGTGTAGGTAGAGGTGGAGGCAGGTGGAATCAGAGGGAAACGAGAAGATACCTGATGTGAGCCGCGGGGAGTGAGAAAAACAGAGAAGACGGGGAATCGGACGGTGATGACCACGCGTGCAGTGATGACTAGAACCTCACGGTTGTCTCGCGTGCTGTATTATGTTTAAA